AAAAAAAAAAAAAAAGATATCGGAGCCTTTTTCCCCCTTATTGTTCCCATCTATGAGTGTATCCAGGGCCCCAAAAGCAGTGTGCATCAGAGACTCTGGTCTGCAGAGTCTAGCATCATTCCTTCTGTGTCCTGACTAGGGAATGGCCTCCGGGAAGTCCAAAAATGATGATGAAACAGCCACATCTCTCTTTGCTTACTAGAGAAGACTAAAGCTCTCACCTTCCGGCACCCCTCCCAGTACTCAGGTAGAGGTTGGGTCATGTCAGGGTATCTCTCCCTTCCAGATGCCCTGGTGTCCCATATCACCTGCCTTCACCTGCAGCTATTTGCTTCATTATTACTTTTCTTATGTGAGGGAGGTTAGAGCAGAGGCCCCAGGAAGAGTCTCCGAGGTGAGCTAATCATTAAGTGGCCCTGTGGGTCTTGTGAATGGAGTGACATTAACATCCATTTACAGCCTCTGCTGGCTCTAGGAAAATGTTTGTGTGAGAATCGCTAGGAAAACAGTGTCAGCTGCATGTGCAGGCTTGTTTCTTTGGGCCTCCATTTTAGCATTTAATTTGTTTGGGAGTGATATTTTGTTTTGTCAAGGATGCTAACTTGTTATGTAACTTTCTACTCAAACTATAGGATTTCTCATATTAAATGAGAAAATTGGGTAAAATGCCTAGCATGCCACCTAGTACTTAGGCCTAAATAATGGGGGTAGAGAATTTGGTGCCCGGCCCAGAGTTGGCGCCCGCCTCAGGTCAAGCCATCATCCCCTCTAGTCTGCATTTCTGTCATGGCTTCTTAACTAATCTCCCCACATCCATCCTTGGCCCACTCTGTATGGCACCCAGAATGCTCTTCTCTTCTTAAAAAAAAATCAGCAGAAACCCCTTTCCATGGCCTGAAACCAGCTATGTGTCTTCTTGCAGAAAGCAGGGCAGGCTGGAGGCAACTGTTTGAAGAAATGAGTGAGCACTCTCTTGCATTCATTCAACAGATGTCTTATCAAGCAGCTTTTATGTGGAGTGAGCACAGTTCGTGGGATCTAGTGATTAATAAAACCAAGTTCTTGCCCTTCTGACGTTTACAGTGTGGTAGGCAAGTCATGCAAGTAAACTAAAAAGAGACTTGTTTTGAAGAACTCAACATGGAGATGAGGCTCCTTTAAATGAAACAACAACAACAAAAAAAAAACCCAACAGTCAAAGGA